GCCCCGGCACAGGGACAGCGAACGGCTCGGACACGGCACAACCGCGAGCGCCGGGCGGGAGCGGCCCCGGCGCGGCGGGGACAAAAGCGAACGGGAATCTGCTCCAAAGTCTCTGGAAAGGCGGAGAGGCGGCGGCGAGGACGCGGGGGCGGCGCTCGGTCTGTGACCCGCCCGGACCGGGGGCGGCGGCTCGGACAGCGAGGAACGGCAGGTCCCGGGGGCGGCTCCTCCTCCTCTCCGCAGGTCCGGCGGTAACACAAACACGCTGCTTCCCTCCACAGACACCCAGAACAACGGCAGAGTCGCTTCTGGCATCGCGCTGCTTTGGCGATTACACATCCCTTGCAAAAAAGTCCGTTTGCTCCAAAAAAAGTTTATTTATATATCTCTATATATTTCAAGGAAAATATCTGTTTTTACCAAAATACGATATACAGGCACACAGCTGTAAAATAACTTTAAACCAATTCACTATAAAATTACTTTTGGTAATAAATAATCTGATTCTCAGAGAGGCAAAACACTGTACCTCTGCAGCTGTGCTGCCCGAGGCACGGTCCCTCTGCATTCCCAGAACGCTCCCAGATGCTCCCACCTGTGCTCCCCTCGTCCTTCTCACCGGGTCTTGCCCAGGGCAGAAGCAACTTGTGCTTTTCAGCCTGCATGAGGCGGAATCCTGCTCCCCACAAACCACTTCAACGGAGAAACGATGATAAACACGTGCCGAAAGCGACCTGCGAAGTCAATGGGGCAGATCCTCCCAGCAGGGTTTATTCTGGAAGGAGCAGCTGCTGGTACGGGGCTGGTGAGGTCTGCTCTGCTCTGGGGCTCCTGCAGGCCAGGGAGCTGTGCTGGGGTCTGCTCCCAATGGGAATAAAACATCTATGGGTGCATCTGGGCAGAATTCAGAGACAGTCCTTAATCCCCAAAAAGGTCAGTCAGATTCACAGGCCTCGAACTAGATCTCCTCTGTCTTGGCAAAGTAATGGTTTAGAGGGGAAAACAAGATGTGGCTGACTGGCACTCCTAAATCTAAAGCAGTTACATGTCTGATATGTTCCTCCCCTGCTCCACTAGTGGACACCCAGGTCCTCACAGCACTTGCAATACATCTGGTCACAGAACAGTATTGCTCTAAAAGTCAGATATTACCAATGTAAGGGAGCCCCCTCGGGAGTATATAATCTGCTCTGGAGAGCCTGACCTTACCGAGGTGCACAGAGCAGCTTTCAGCTCTCTAGACTAGATTTTTCCCTTATTCATACAACTGTTCCTGCCTGCAGAGCTCCCTCAGCCCCAGGAGCGGCCCTGGCACCACCAGGTGAGCGAGGCTCAGCTGCTGCTGCCCCACTGAGCTGCACTCAGACACTGACTGAGGAACTGAACACGGATAAAGCTTTTACAAAAGAAGCCTCAAGACAAAACAGTTGTTCAGACAGATGGCAAGATTTTTAGCTTCCTGGAAGGAGCAGACTTGCAGCACAGCACAGTTACAGTACACAGGAGGTGGTGCGGCAGGGGAGGTGCTTCCCAACTCATGGCAGGGATGGATCTTGGAGCAGCACTTCCACCCCATCCTTAGGGGAGAAGCCTGACCAGAGCTACTCAAGTTGTAGCCTTTGAAGATGATTATTTGGAACCTAATTTCCTGTTGCCCCCGTCTATTTCCTGTGATCCTTAAAACACATCTCTGCACATCTCCCTGGGGAGCAGTCTTGAGAGGTTTAGTCAGTCGTGACTTGACAGATATTATTTTGACAAACTACTCAAAGAAATGTCCTGGAACTTCTCAAGAAAGCACTCCAGGGAGCAAGTCTCGTTTGCACAGCTCATGGAAGTTAGTGCTCCATTTAGCTTGTGCACGAAGCAAAATGACACATCACATCCCAACAGCAAATAAAAACCAGAGCATTAAAGACTCATAACCCTGCATTCCCCTGTCACTGTTATTTTGAGAAGTCAAAAGGGCAAAAAAAGGCAACAGCAGTAACTCTGCAGGATGTTCCAAAGCCAATTTGAGCAGGAGCACAAACAATTTGAGCAGGTGCCTATTGTGGGAGCAGGATTCATCTGAGCACACCACATGCAGGGAGTAGGGAGCCAGGCAGGAGCAGTCCCATAAGGACACAGTTGGTCCAGTTCACCTTCTCCTCTCAATGTATTACATGCAGAATTTACCCCTTTAATTTGGCATTGCCTGGTGCTGGCAAGTCTTCTCCATTAATACGAGCAATAAAGATACATGGAGAAAGGGAGAGCGAGACAAGAGGGAAGGCAGCAGGCCTAAGAAGAAAAGGATTTGTTCTCTTCTCACTTAAAAATGGTTGAGTCTTTGCTTCGCTTCCACACTGAGGACTGCGAGATACAGAAACCAGATTTTCTTCAGTACACACAAGCATACACCGAGGTACCTACGACCATAGCACAGAGCACACAGTAGCACGAGTTTAGAATGACTTAGTTCAAACAAGACAAGCTTTTACTTGGAGGGGAAAATATCAACATTTTCATCTTGGATGCAGTTGCTTTGGGCGGGAAGGGAGGGGGCTGGCTTAAAATCCCAGACCAGACACTCATCCTAGCTACAGCTAGAGCAGACAGAGGGTAAGAGCCCTTTGCTTACACAGTACAATTCCATACTCCTCCCAACACAACAGGAGTGAAACCTCTATCTTTGAATGTCCCTGCCAGCACTGGACCTTCTAACAAAGATCAGCAGGTAAGAGGAGAATGAGGAACCTCGAGAATGAATTTTTGACTCGGAAAGTCTTTGCTGATAAGTACAACTTCTGAACTAATTTCAAGGACTACATTCTCCTCCTACATTCCACCTTCTTCAGGGCTTTTTGTTCAGTTTTTTTAAAAAGTGCATTTTCCTCTGATGAGATCTACCTTGGCAACAAGCAAACAGAACCTCCTTGAAGGGCTGCAAACTGGAGTAGAAGCCTTGCAGGTCACAAGCAAGGACTCTCCACTTCAGCCTGGCTAAAATGAAGGTGGGATCCCAGGGCTTTCCCATCAGTTCACCAGCCCACACGACTGGAATCATCATCATCATTCCTATGCTTGGAAACACCATACTGTTTTCCACATAGGTCGAACCAAAATGAGAACAGCTTCATAAAAGCAAAAGCTAAAGCAAAGGAAAAGCATTTGGTTGGAAGGCAGTGAGCTGGGGAAAACTCAGTTCCCTTTTTCCATGCAAGCTGAACACTGCTGGGGGAGGAACAGCAGGCAGGGCAACAGATGACCCGCCTCTCACTCCCTGCTGCATTAAAGGCTTCCTGTACCTTCAGCTTCCACATACAATCCCATGTTTTAATAACTGGGGACCTCCTACCAGGCAGGAAGGCAGAGATCAGCTTCACAGTTAATACATGAATTTTACCACTAATACATACAGGAGTACCCATTCCCCTGGCTAACTAAGGGCTCTTGTACCTCAAATCAGTCATGAATTACTTCAAGGTCCAAGGGTAACAGCAAATTACAATGGCAAAGAGCCATAACCTTTACTACAACCAAAAATGATCTGCAGCACCTTGTGGAATCCACCCAAAATGGCGTATGTGTGTATATATAAATTTTGTATATAGACATTGTAGTGGTTCATTCTTTTTAATACATATACAAGTACCTATACATATATACATATTTACAATTTACACCAGCCAGTAGATGTATGTGTACTGTACATACACACACAAACGCCGAGAACACACATGCACACACACAAACACACACTCGTTAAAACAAACTCCACAGCCCAGGAAATGAAGTCCTGCCAGAGTCCAAAGGGCAGCACCAAGTTGGGGGGGCTCAAGGTACCAGCTTCAAGACTGCTTAGGACAAACACGAGCATTCACAGGATTTTGTACACTTGGGAAATAAAGAATAGATGGTGCAAGCTTCAGCCCAGCTACAGAGAACCTTCATGCAAAGTCCCCAGCTACACTCCAGCCATTCCTGCTGTTCCATCCTGTGCCCTCAGCTGAATGGATCCACCAGTGCTGTTGTGGCTGACTAGACCACACCGTGGGTGATGGCACTGCACACAGGCCTGCCAGGATACCATGGCAGTCAGCAAGTCCTGCATTGTTTTTACCTAAACACAGAGGCATGGCTGGGCTTCAACAAAAAGCACTGATCAGACTTGTCCTTCCACTTCCTTTCTAGCAGACCATGGAACAGTGACAATAAACTTTTTTATTTAATAGCTTAAAGTATCTCCATTTCCTTCTTGCTCACACCTGCCCTGCCAGGAGCTGCCAGAGCTCCTCTGTCTGCAGGGCACCAGTACAGTCCCAAATGAGCCAGCCAGCACTTTTCCCAGCAGCCAGAACAGCCTTCCCCAGCCAGCACCTCCCCAAGGGCCACTGTCCTCCTCCACACCCCCACACCGAGTGTACGGGCTGGGGAGCCCACGGTGCTGCCACAGTTACAGCCCCTCGGTTCTCCTGGTCCCAGGGCAGGACTGAGCTGCAGTGGGGGACATGCAAAACATCCACGGGGTTATGGCAGCTCCCACTTGGTTTAACCTGCAAGGGGAACATCAGCACCTCTCCTGGGGCACGGGGATCCAGCACAGCAGGGTTGGATACGCAAGTGATGGGAAGGGCTTGTACTCAGCACTGCACAGGACGTCCTTTCAGCTCCTTTCAGGGAGTGCTCACACTGTGGGAGCCACACATTCCACCCACACAGGGAAAGGAGGGGTAACACCTCCTGGAAATGTCAGAATTTCTACACAGTATCTCAAAATGAAGAATTCCCTGTCCTCCTGTGGCAGCAATACAAATGGCAGGATGACCCACAGGACAGTAAGAGGTGGGGGCCAGCCTTGGGCATCTCTAACTTGACCACCTGCCCAACCAGGTCCTTGGCCAGCAGGACACAGTTCACATGGAAAACTGCTGTGTCCAATTTACAGGGAGCATTAAGTAAGTATCTTTACAACTTCACTTGAAAGCCACTGCTCCAAATGCAACTTAATTGTCCACAGTTTTGTCTCCTCACTTGCCTAAGACTGAAAAAATATATTTGTTATGAAGGACTCTGTTATTGCTATTGTTGGTTTGCACTGTGTGGTTCCATCTTTGCCATTTCAAATCCAAACTCTTTGGGGATAAAATATTGGTTTTTCTGTTGATTTTTTTCTTTCCAATTTCTTAAAATTGTATAAAAATAAAGGATTTCCACAAATGTGGGCTAAAGGTAACCAATAATACTTCTATGCTTAGGATCAGCTGTTGGAAATGTGGTTGACAGCCACAAGACCAGAAATAAACCTCTAGTGATTCTTTAGTTTAACATTTAAAAGACATGAAAACTTCTGCTTATAAAATTGACCCCATACAGAATGGAACAGCTCAACTAACAGCTGTTTATTATTACTTTTTAAAATAATGGTCCTAAATTTAAAAATAAAATCAAGTACTTCCTTTTATGATTTTCACATTATAAAACTGCACCATTCAAAATCTGTGGCCAGGGAAACCCCTTTGCAATAAGACAGTTTCTTTTAATAGTCCTCGAGGGTGTTTTCCAGGAAAACATTCCTAACATCCAGTATGGAAGCCAGCTCCAAAATGTGCTTTTGGAGGTGAGGGTTCTCCACCGTTTCATCTCTTGGCAGCTGAGGGTAAGATTCGGGATAATTTCGAGTCTCCTGCTAGATAACAGTGAAAACAGAGAGAATCAGACACTTGTTTCTTTCACAGCCTTTACAAAGAAGATTGCAAAAGGCCAATTTCACACTGTCTGTTCAGTATGATAGAGAGAGAAAATGTTCTAGAATTTTCAGTTTTCTGTTTCCATTATAGTGGCAATACAAATACCCACGACAATCTGAGATGGTTATTGGTATGTTCACAGAAGCTTTGCAAAAAAAAAAAAAAAAGAGAGAGAAAAAAGACTAAAAAAAAGACAAAGAGACTTCATATGTGCTTACCTACAGGCTGGAGTTCATTTCTTGAAATTACACACATGTAAGCATCTCCAGTGGGAGATTTATCTCATCCTAAAACAAGTATCTAAGACACTGAGGGCAAATCTCTCTACACTAACAGAGACACGTTTCTTTTCCCCGATATCAGTGGCCCAGGTAGCTGACTTAGGCTGAGAGAGCTGCTGGATGTCTGCAGTTCCACAAGTGAATACTGCCCCTTTCTGTGCTCAACTCCCATTTCTTCCTGCAGTGTTTAAAATGGAGCAGGCAGTTTATATGCCAACACTCACATACATAAAATGGTGCAGATCCAGAAGCAGCCTTCACTGTTGGCACAGCTTTAACCAACGGGGAGGAAAAATACATCTTCCTGTTGAGCTTATTCATTTACACTTCAAACACCTTTCAAAACCCATTCACGTTAGAACACATTCAGCAGTAACATCCCACTCCTCCCCACTTCGTCTTATATTCTTGTTCTACACCTTTTTAGTTGTGTGGAAATAATAATCTCGACTTATTAAGATGTATTTTTCTAGCAGACACAGCTGTTCAGAGTGACATAAATGAACTGGAGTGTTGTGTCTGCTGCAACTTCTGTGCAGGACTAAGGCTCCAGCAAATCAAAGGCTTTGTGCCTTTGGAGAGACACAAAGGCACAGCCTCAGTGCAACATGTAGGAATTAGCATGTGAGCATCAGTCATCTTTCTGAAATCACAGGGATGTGCTCAGCCCTCAGCCCCCTCCACCCTGAGCCAGTGCAGTTTTACATGCACTGGACTGTCCTTCCCACAAAGGCACAGACATCCCTCCATACCCGGAAGATTTTGTGCATCCTCATCGTAGCTGAACAGAAGATAAATCTCGTGAGAAGCAGGCGAAGAAATTCGTCCCCAAAAAACTGAAGAAAGGACTGGTCTGTAGAGAAGGCAAGGAAAGCTCAGTTTAGAAAGGCTTAAAAAACAAAGCCTTACAAAAGGTTCAGCTGTGCACACTGAGGCCATACCTATGGACCGGGAGTGGGTCAGCAGCTGGGCAATATCCCGGTTGATTTTCCTAAGGTAATCCTGACACTTCTCCCACAATCCTCTGCGCATGCTTGATAATCCAGAGACAAACAGGAATGCCATTAAAGGATTGTTCAGAAAGAGTGTGAAGAGGCTACCCCGCTGAGACTGATCTAAAAGGAAAAATAAATCAATAGACAAAGAGATACATTTGGCACATGAAACAGAAACGCTGTCCCTGCCACAGAATGAAGTCACTCACCCGCTAAATTCCGTAACAGAGGAGCTACTCCTCTGGGTTAGTTACACCTTCTCTCGTGCAGATCTGATCAGGGACTGGCAATAAAGCCTTGCTGGGGACGTGCATTGACACCAAGACACCTTAACTGTCTCTGTTCCCTTTCTGGGACTAACAAAGCTGCCCACAGTGCTTTAAAACCATCGTCCTGCACTGGGATGGCAATTTACTCAGTCTCTGTGTAGGAGAGGCTTTGCTCCTACCACTTGTTGCAGCTTATTGTAGAAATACCATCAGTGTTAGAATAAATTATTTACCATAAACAGTAAATAAACTTTATCATATTACTGCAGCGACTGTCAACCTGATTTACGGGTTACACAGGAGTGAAAAGGTGTCTTTTCCTGAGGAATCCAAGTTCTATTTGTTTGGGACAGATACACGATGCAACTGCAACTTCTTGGGAAATGCAATACTGCACATACCTTGTAATGCTTTTGGATATGCTGTTGGAGAAAGCAAGCACACCAATGGCTGTCCAAATAAGTTTGTGAAATTCTGTAACAGATAAGAGTTTTGAAGTATTGATCGTCACTTTGCTTGCCTTGAATATTCAGCAGGGTACAAATCCTATTAATGACAGAGACACCAATGCCCCTTGCACAGCTCAGCATTGGCAGTGAGCCTGACAAGGTCACTTACTCAGATCACACATAGAAGGAATATAACCCACTACATTTTAAAGGAATTACAATTCTCTCATTTCACTGGTACTGATGGCAGATACTCATTTCATGGAAATATTCAGTACTAATACGTTACTTGGAAAAAAAATCATGTTCTTCAGTGAAAGCCATTGGCTTTCAGGTCAAAACAGCTCTTGCATCTTCCCTCAATACCAACTGAACTGTCCAGTCAAAGTCATTTCTTTCCCCTTTTCTTTCTAAATCTAATGAAACAGGAAAGCCCAGAGGAGAAGAGTTTTAAAAGAAGCTTCCTTTAAAACAAGTATGTCATAACGTTAATATCCGCCGTACTGAACCTCATTTTACAATACCCATTTCATGCCCCCTGCACCAGCACCTTAAATATTGCCTAAGTCCCATTGCACAAGGATTTCTCCAGAACCTCAAGCAGCACCATTGTCCAGTTTCAGCAACATTTACCTGATAACAGTCCTACTGCGTATCTGTCTGGTGGTAAATCATTATCACAAAGGGAAAGAATGCCAAAAATCATTTACATAACCTCATTAGCTGTCACCAGAACAGCTCTCTTAACCATGCAGGCTTGCAAAGCCATAAAAGATGTGATTGTGTCTGCACCCTCTCAGAGCACAGACTCAAACCATTGCATCCAGAGCACCACACATACATCTGCAGAGTACAGTCTTAAAACTGTCAGGTTATGACTGTAAGACATACAACACCAGAAGTATTTGCTTGTGTAGAATCCTCAAAAAGCTAATTTTTTAATTCCTTTTGGTCTCTGTGTAATTCAAATGGAACTTTCCCTTCCAGGCAGTATATTTCAGTTAAATTAGTTTTACAGAATTAATTTAATCTAATCTGCTAAATACTAAAGACAGTAATCTAGTCTAATCAAAATAAAACATGTCCCATCTTTGGCAGAGTGCTGACTAGTCCTAAAAACCCTCTAAGTGCATTAGGAGCCCAAGAAAGACTGATAATGCTGGATACCAAGGTTTGGTCTCTAATGAAGAAACAAAGACTGTTCTCTTGCAGACAGTAACTCCAGGCCAGCCCAGGAATTGGTGAAACTGAACTACAAAGAAACATTTCCAACTCCAGGAGTCACCTCAGACCTGCTGGTTTGTACTGGACACACACTGGCAGGTTTCACCTTCTCCAGTAACGTGTATGCTCAGTTTTCATGAGCAGATTGACATTTAATTCCATCTTGTATCACTCAGTTACAGACCAAAGCAGAGCTGCCACCAGGAGCACCAACTCTGCAGTTGAACAGTGCCAACAGCAAACCCGGGTATCTCAGGCAAGGTATCACTCCCTGCAGTATCTGGGAGCACTCTGGACTCTGTCCCAGCAGGTGAAGCCAACACAGCCAGTGAGTCCTGCACAGGGGGGAAACTCCACGGCCTGACCCAGACGTGCCCTGTGGAAGGCAGGAGCTCCTGCCACCCACTACACCCACACCACGGAGCCAGGAGACACTGCCTGCCAGGCCACAGCTCCTGCCCAGACACTACTGCCTACCAGAGCCCAGGTGAACACCAGGATTCACTCACCACCACCCTGCTCCTGATTTCCCCAGGAAAGAGCTGTGGGATACATGGAACAAAGGAACTGGAGCATTTACAGCCATGGCTGGGAGCAGAGGGCAAAAGGTGCACCAGGAAAACCTGCCCTGCAGTCCAGGTGTTAACAGCAGCTCTGGATAAGGAATGCCCTACCTTTCAGTGCATGGATGACTCCAGTAAGGATAATCCATATGTTGTTTCAAAATTGACGCTGTTTTTTTACTTCAGCACTCAAGTTTCCCACAGAAGCACTGCTGCTTTTTACAATGCATGTACATCTCTTTTGAAAAAAGAACTCCCCAAAAGAAGTCACTTCACATGTAGGCTTTGCTAAGCTGAGTATTTGTACCACATCACTGACAAAGGCCTTGCATTCTCACTGGCTGTAGGTTTGGGTTTGGTTTGGTTTGATGTTAAGACTTTGCATCTGACCATGATCTGTGATCCTAGAAAACCACAGCTACAGGATGATATTGATCTAAAAATATTATTTCATCCACATATGCAGTGGTAACCTTCAAGAACACACAGCCATCTATATTTAAATAGAAGTGTTAAAAAAAATTCACAGCTTTCAGTAGACACGCTCGATTTGAAGTTATCTTCCACTTTCAGCTAAATATACAGGGAGGAAGCTGTTCAAGTGCCGCTGATTTGACAAATTGGTAAGTCACTTCCTGGCAGGACTGACTTTCAGTCATCACCATTTCAGCCCTGCAGAGAGGGGGAGAGGACAGGGATGCGTGCAGGAGAGCAGGAACGGGCTGCAGAAGAAGATGTGTGAGCAGTTGCTGTTCCTGCCGGTACTGCCAGCAGTGACATTTAAATGTCAGGATAGCTCCTGTCCTATCAGGAAAGATCAGGGCAGCCATGTGGAAAAAAGGCAGTACTGATTTCAGCTTCTCACACAGTTGCACAGACCCTCTTTGTTCGTGCCAGCGCTCGAGCCTACAAAGCCCATCTCAGCCCACCCAGGGACAGTCACACGCCAGCCCTGTCAGGGCACTGTGGGGACAAGGACCCCAGCAGGCACAGCACAGTGACAGGAGGAGTGTGCCAGGGCTAGGAAACACTGACACTGAGAGCTCTGCCATGTCCCTTCAGTGGAAAACAGAACAAGACACCTAAACCTGTCCCCACACACCTGCCTGCCTACGTTCATGAGTAAGTGGAATGTCATTTCTGAAATGCTGAATATATTTCTTCTTAGATTCCTCACAGTTGTGCCCACACGGTTCTGATCTGGGTCAGAGCCCCTAGCAGCCACTTCTATAATCCTGTCCTGAAGTACTTCCAAAACTTCCATTTCTCTGCTCCTTCCACACAGGCAGAGCTGGACTGCTCTCCCCCAGCTGCTCTGTGTGCTGAACAGACTGAGCACTGGTGGGTTTTGCACTACTGTCGGTCAGTTCACTGCAGGACAAGGAAAAGAAACTCAGTGGAGGTTACAGTTTTGCTTACTGTGTGCCCACAAAATCGAAAGAAAAATTAATTATCAAATTTAAATGTAATACAAAGAGAAAATTCTACTGTAAACACTTGACAGTTATTCTCACAAGAGCTGCAAATCTACGTGTGGAAATCCATTACCCCAAACAGCTCGAAGATGTCCACAGAACCCCAGTCTGTATCTGAATTAAGGATGACCAGGAACCCCTTACTCTCTTACAGAGTTGATCTACTTGACATCTTTCAGCAATTCTATTAAAAAGGAAGGGAGTAAAAAAACCAAACCAAAAAACCAAACCTGAGCCACACTTCTTCCCCTGAAACAAAACCAACCCTCCTGATGTTATACTGGAATGAATGTCAGGAAAGAGTAAAGGAAAATAAATCCCTACCAAACACTCATGTTCTCAGAAAGACAAGTAAATCATTCCAATTGTGCTTCCCTCCCTTTAAATGGAGAAGGGAATTTAAAAAAAAAGCAGATTTGCTCTGAAACCTCGTGTGGTGAACTTAAATGCAGTGATGTTTAAAAAGCCCTCTCAGATACATTACAGTCCAACAAAGCAAAGACCCAGTGGAGAGGCCAGATTTGAGTGTCAGGCAGGAGCTCCCTGGCTCAGTACAGAACTATCCCAAATCACACTGACCACTTATTTAGTACCTCTCCTTGGCCAACAAATGCCTTTCAAACAAACAGCACAGACTGTGGACACCGAACAGGGCACAAGTTCCTCTGGCCACTAGACGTCCCTGTTCCTCCTCCGAAACACAGCTGGGGGTGTTCCCTTTCCTCACTGCACATAATGGAGCTATAAAAAGAAAGACAGAAGTGGCACTTTCCCCAGATATAGCACATTCTTATTACCCCATTCATGAATGAAATAAATGTGTAATGCTCTGCAGATTCAACTGGCCACTACGAGAGCAATGCCTGCTTCTGTATTACCCGAATTGCAGATTCCCAGAGGTGACTTAGCATGGAGCAATTCTACTGTAAGTCCAGAGCACCCTAGGAAGGAGGCTCAGTGTCCAAGCAAATACCACTCTACAGTAACACTGGATGCTAATTTGAGTCTTGTTACTTCCTTGGTTCAGACACAGACACCCTGTGTTTTATAACATCAGGTTCAATGCTTTGACTCCTTTCTGTTGCTTAAAAGCAACTTGAGTGTTGGATGACTGGAAAAAAGAAAAGCACATTAGTTATCTCCCTCCCCCATGCACACACACCGAGATTTGTCTTTGGTATAAAACAAAAATAAACCTCCCACCAGAGACCTTGGAAATCTTGAACCTTTTTTCCCTCCGGGAGGATTTATTACTTTCCAATGAGCGGCTGTTCATGTGCTTCTCCTTCTTGTTCCTATTCATAGGGTCAGATCCTGACTAGCATGCACAACCTCAAAAGAAAAGAAAGACTGAATACAAACTGTTTAAAAAAATAGCCTGTTAAAAGTGTAAGCTAACTAGGGGTTGGCACTGTATCCTACCACACGAGGAGCTGCCTCCAAGGGTCTTACCTTATAGGCGACGCTGTTGGAAGAGTCCACGATGATGAACAGAGGCTTTCTGGTGAAAGGGTAGAGATCTCCAGGGTGGAGGCTGGAAAGAGAAAGGGATACCTCACAGAGCACTAGAACTGCTCAACCACACAGCTGCCCACATCCAGATAAAAACCAAGCAGATTCCCCGTGCCCCAGGCCTCAGATTCATCCTCAGGGAGTAACTGCTCAACTCACTTGGTATTCTCTGTAATATGGGCTATGGGACTTGTTACTAGTTCAAGAGATGTTTATCTTCTTGAGAAACCATCCATCATTAATCTGAAGTTTGCCAGTAATTAAGAACTTACATTAAGTCACAGCAATACTTTTGAAGTGTTTAAATCATCATTTAAACATTCATTTCTCAGTGTTCGACTTCAAGCCAATCTCCACTATGATGTCCTGCACTGAGGAGTTCGAATTCCAGAGGCTTTGATGCCTTTTTCTCTATTGAAGACAAATTTTTCTGAACTCCCAGGTGTTCCCACTGTGACACTTACCAGTGCATCTCCTTGTACGACTGGTTTCGCTTGTGGATCGCGTCCCCATTGATAATGTCCCGGTTACTGTTTGTCAGAACACCCCCAAAGTCATATGGACCTACACAGGGGGCAAAGGAAGCTCAAATCAGCAGGGGCAACTCACCCCTGAGAGATTTAACGATTATATGGAAGGGAGAAAGCAACAACAAATCTCAGAAAACTGAAGGAATCTGAACTACTGCACTTGTAAGGAGGGGAGAGGGGAATGTGGAGCCTTCACTAACTACATATTCCAATGATACTCTCTTAGCAATTTCAGCATCTATCAAATAGAAGCAAGCAATGCAACTTCATAACTTCTAATTTAATTATTCACTATTTATCCACAAACATAATACAAAAGATCCAGATATTGGCTTTTGTTAAACTATAGAGCAAAAAGATTAAAACCCATTACACACCTGAAACAGGAAAATCAATACCTCTGTAAAATTACTGTATGAGTTTGCATATTCCAGATTCAGAATTTGATAAAAAAATAAAGTTAAATTAATCAAAAATAAGGGATATATTATTATCATCTGCAGTTATAACACTGCAAAGGGGAGAAGAGAGAGCTCAGAGAATGACAAAAGGACAAAACAGATTTAACCAGATTTCAAATCTGCAGCAAAGGTTTGTATTTTAAGATTTCAAAGTCAGAATTCACAATTTGCACATGCACAGCCCCTGAACATGTGTTCCCATGGTAAGCTAACAAAGTATTCTGCTAAGTTTGCACAACTGAGCTACGGCCTGACTGTCTGATGGAGAGCAAAGATGAAAGCAATGGCTACAAAAAATATCACATCCTACAAGATATCGAGATATATTTCTGCCATTGGTATGGATATGAAATGTCACTAACATTAGTAAAATAAAGTATTAGGGTTTCCTCATTCTGTTATACATTTGCAGAGCTGGTTGACCCCTATCTGGCCACCAAATGCAATTTTTTCAGGTTTGGATACAAGGCACCTTTCCATTTTAAGGGAAGCTTTGGGGATACAAAATCAGGAACAGAACAGACATTAATTTAGCACAGTTACAAACATCTCACGTGTCTGCCAAACACAAGCTGCTCGCAGGCAATGGACAGTGCAACTTGCAGCTGCTATCCCTTTTAATAAGGCAGAACTCTGGGCAGACCACACCACCTTATTAAAAGATTGCAGTTGTGATGGGATGCACTGAAGGAAAGCTGCACTCTGACTGTGCAGCTCCTCAGGTGACTGAGCCTGGATGCTTCTACCACAAGGTCTTAAGCTGAAACAACACATGCAGTGAGGTGGACATACCACAGGCCTTGGAGAACAAGCTTCAGTTAGAACCTACCACCAAGTTGCAGCAAGAAGTAAAATGTTAAAAGCATTTAAAAAAATCACTGCCACAACCCAAAGCTGACAGGGATTTTTTTTCTTTTAGCATTTTGAGAGCTCTATAAATCATGCACCGGGGAGGACAAGGCATGCATCTTATAAAGGAATGCAAGTCTCAAACAGATGAGGTTTGTCCAATATTTAGGATGTTAAAAAGGTATTCGGATTTTTTCTTGAATTACATAAACAGATCTTTGGACTGTGTTTACTTTAGCCAACCAGTTTTCAGCTTTTACATTGCAGCTGCATCCAAATATTCTGCTAGACTGCAAAGAACAGGAGGATGAGGTGAGGGGAATTGTCGAAATCATGAGAAGGGCTTGAATTGTCAGGTTAATGAGCGTGCAAATAGACCAGTCCCTGCAGCTGCTTCAGCCCTTTCACCCCCCATCTCCTGGTGCTGGGGATGGAAAGAATCACAAAGTGCCACTGAGCCATTTTATGAACTTTGCACTGATGCATCAACTGAGCCACGTGGTCTTCAAAATTAGGGAAGCTTTTAATACTTCAGATGCATCAAAAACTGGATGTGTCCTTAGAAAAGTTCTCAGGTTAATGCACATTAATTAAAACACAAAGAATTAATTATTGTTTGTGGAAAAAAAAAGGCTATCTTACTAAGTAGACAGGAGAATCAAATTGACTTGTCTTTGAAAGGAGCTTTGTGACATCTTTCTTGGTCACTTGTCCTGGAACATAAAGAGAATTCAAGCCCTGTTCATGACAGGGAGCATTCCTTTATTGTACCTTCACTATCCGAACGACCTGATGGAAACACGCCCGTGGCAGACAGGTAGATCAGCAGCACACTGTTTGCAGGCAGCTCCTGAAACCCAGACAAGGAGAGTGGCAAGGGAAGAAAGGTAAAGTTTATTTTAATATTCAACCATCACCTTCATAAATACATTGTCATTATCACTGTGCTACTTCTGCCCACCAGGGCAGTGCACAGACCAAAGGGTCACCCGATGATGTGTCCGTAACTTTTCTCCACACAGACCTCTAGGCTGATATCAGAGGTCCAAGCTGCACTGAAAAAGCATCTGCTTCCACACAGACTCTCTTACTGTCTAGCCAGATCTGAGATATGGAAATTAAAAGCTGCCAAGATCCAAACAGACCCTAACTCCCAAACAATTCACAAAGGAAGGTTTGTTTCCAAATACCCCAAAGTCTGCAACATCTGTCTCTTCCCCTTGGCCCTTCTCAGCTGGCCAACAAGCACGACACATCCAGGTTTCTGTATAGACCTCTAAAAGAAATCTATTTTCCACCTTTCTAGTGGGCCATTTGCATCAGGGAACAGATACCTTTAACTTCTGCCAAAGGCTGAGCATGCAGGCACACAAAATTCTAAGAAGTAAGGATGCACTTCCTGCACCTCACCAGCTGTTCCTGGAGACAAACTGAAACTTGTTTCTTTATAGGATTCATGTTTCGGTTTTACTACTAAATCCTAAGTTGTGGACTTGTACAGTCAGCATTAAGCATAATGAACCCAGCAACTTCGATAAATTAAAATAAGTGCAGCAACTATTTAAAAAATCTACAAATGTATAGATGACTGGCTTGGAGGACAGCAGGGGGTAAGAAAATAAGACAGGCAGATAAAACTACAGCTTGTGCAGGATACAGTTTGAATACAGGGATACAGGACTGGAGATTTAGCAGCTATACAGTGCTGAAGAGCAACCATTTCCTGAGGTACTTCCCTGACTTTGGATTATGTTTGGCATGACATGAAGTAAAAGAACACTTTAAAGATTTTTCTGTTCTCCAGATCAGTGCAGATCCACATTTTATTCAGTGTCACAAACTATCCTGGATGTTTTTCTTACAAATAAATTCACCAATTTCACAAACCTTAAATGATGCTGCTAAAAATGTATATAGCTGGCTAAAAGTTGGTTTATAAAGGAGATATTTATGGGGGTTTTCCCGCCTTGCTGGTTTCTCTGTCGATTCCTGTTAAAACAAACAAACAAACAAAAACACTACTCAAAAAACCCCCAAAACCAGATATTATCAAAGCAGTTTCAAAACCCTCCAAATTTCTACTTATTAGAATGTTCATCTCCAACACATTTCCTACACAAATGGTCCGCCCACGGTGCATTTCCTGTTACACAGTAAAGCAAGTTGCACAGTATTGATACTACAACTTTGTAGTATGCCCCATTTAAACTTGTTACCTAAATCTTTCTTACTCTCTAAAGCATCGTCCAAGAAAAGAGTGACAAAATTCACTCTTCATCTCAAATAAATAAATTAAATTCTTCGTACTTCCTTATGCCCCCAGCTAAAATATTTTTATGCTTTCTCAGCAGGGGATATTAACTTTCAGATGACTTAGCAACCTGATGAGTCCAGGTTTGAGCTACTCTTCACTAACTTCCAGTAGGTTACACCATCTTTACTAACCTGCTCTGCACAGTGACAGTACTGAAGGAGTATACTATTTAAAATAAAACAAATGAAAGGCCCAGTTAAGATCTGTTGCCAGGTTTGTCACTGAAGTGGAACTTACCTGCATTCCAGGTTTGTTCATTTGTGATGCCAAGTTCATGGGTTCCCTCTCCAGTGCTTGCAGCATGCGGAACATGTCCACTGTCAGCTCACTGAACTTCACCTGCAAGAGAGTCACACAGTTTATTCTGACAGATACACATTAAACAGCATCTCTCTGGAATCATCCAGGTAAGAGACTCCACTGCATACCAGACAGACCATTCTCTCTTTCTCAGGGATCTGCCAGTGCCCTCTTTGAACTTCCAAAGAGCTGTGAAGGACTTCTGGAAAAGTTCGCTGAGGACAAAGTCTACTTGTAACTGGTCTACCCAGACAGGTCACTGCAGTGCAGACCCCTGCTTCCAAATTACAGACCTCTCCAGGCTGCTTACAAATCAAGTGCTGAAATGGCTATGGACTATAAATTCAGACAAAATCTTACAGAGATACACGAAGTGCAGTTTAGATGTAACTGCCTTGCTTACCTGAAAAAAGAGCTCAGAGAGAAGTCATGAAGTTTGTACAACCTCACTGTCATCATGTAAAAAAAAAGACTTTGAATGTCTTTTGAAAACCTCTTCCTGTTGCCACTGAAGTTGCAACAAACCGGAGTATGTCACGTGAGAGCTTAAGTCAAGCTTTTTCAAGATATATCTCAGAGGTCTCTCATGCTCGAATGTTAAGAACAATCCAATATATGAAAATCAATTGTATCAACTTAATTGACATGATGAATATAAGCAGTAAGAGGTCAGTACCACAGGTCTAATATCTCACATTTCATTTTTAGCTCCTATTTCTGAGAATCTCTTCTTCTTGATGCCATTGCAAACATCACAATAAAAATATTTTAAAGTTCTCCTCTGTTGGATTGGCTGTTGAATGATAAGAAAGGTTGTCAAGGGAGGAACTCCAAAGATGTAAACCCAGGTCTCCAGAATTTCTTTTACCTGGTTGTTGCAGTTCCCAATAATGAGTGCATCTGCAAGAGCAAGCTGTCCCACTATCATCCCCTGCTCCAGCAACGGAGCTCCTGTCTCAGAAAGCCTGTTAGAGGTGATTACAATGGTGTTGTCATCATTTAAAACCATGACAGGGTCTGCCTAAAAAAAGCAACCAGAATAAATCAGGAATTCAGAAAACATACAGATCTACAGTCAGAGAAAAGTCCAAAGGTCTCGTCACTTACAGAACATTTCATAACTGAGGCAGATTTTTTTAAATTACTTTGCTGTACACATATTTGTATATTTGCATGCAGGCTACAGGGTAATGCCTTCCCCCACAGAAAGGCAAAGTTCTTAAGGACTGCAAAAAATACACGGTACAAGCACATGAAAGTACAGCAAATAGACAAGCATACTGCCTCCAATGACATGGACTCTGCTTCAGCTTCTCTATACCTGAGCAGTCAAATAGCATCAACAGCCTTACAAATTCACACAGAATAAACTAAATATTCCTTCCTTCAGAATAACTCTGCCCTATTTTAGTTTGCCTTCCTAGAAATGAATAGCAAAGGAGGAGAGTGAATGGTAATGCTGCCACCCCTTCTGGCAATATTGAAATACTCGTGTTAAGGGCTGTGGCATGAACACACCAGTGAGCAAATGGGACAGGCACACTATCCCTGCCCCTGCTTACCTCAGAGGTGGTGATACAGCACCACTTTGGTGAACAAGACAGAAAATCTTACTTTTGAATAAACAACTAGAAGGAAATGCTATTCTCACCTCAATAAATGCTGCCACTTCCTGAAGAACCAGGTTCCACTCCACCTGATCTTCAGTATTAAAACGGTGAGTGTAGTCCTCAATTTCATCTGACAGCTCCTGATGTAGACAGTTGAAAGACAGACACAGTCACTTCTTAAACCAACAGTCTAACAGGCAGGCAGTAACTTTACATTTGGTTAGCTGTGCTGGCCTTTAAGAATAACAAATAAATTCCTTGAGAACATATGCAGCACGCTTCTGACTAACATGCCAGCCAAAACGCGCTCTTTCAGCAGACAGAATGCCAACGTTGCACTCAGTTCTGGCAATGCAAATTGTCTTTTAAGTAGGTCCAAATGCAAAGAATATCTGGAGTTAACTATCCCACTCACAAGCAGCTCTGTCACTGGTTATTACCATAAGCTATGGATGCCAAGGACTCAAATTTCAGCTTACAAGTGACTTTAAATACACTGAGAAAGGGAATGGTGTGGCTGTTTCAGCTGCTGCTAAGCTAAGCTAGCAGTTCAAGGGAGCTCAGACACAGAGACAGCAATGCAACCTACACAAAACTGTCAAGACCAGGAGCTGCTTGCAGCGAGGTTGTCAGAGGGGCTGGGAAGCATATGCTGTGGGGAGCAGCTTGGTGTTCCTTTGCTGCAGTTACAGGGCACCTCCCCGTCTAGGCTGCAGCTATTGGAATATTTTTACTTTGTGTTCAAACAACCCTGTCAAATCATTTGAGCTTAAAGTGTCATTACTAAATGTCTGAATCACAGCAGATGTTTGCTATGTAGGATGTCAGATAGACTAGAAAAGTGAGGATCAGCCACCTCCCACCCCTCAGCACCTTTAACCTTATTTTAACGTACCTTTACAAGGTCCTTTACAACATCCATTTTGTTGAGCAAGAGACAAACCACTATAAACCTTGCATAGTAACGCAGCTTCTTAACCACCAATTCAGGCCTAAACACAACAACAAAAACACGACAGCCAAACTTGAGAATAAAATAGAAGAGAGGTAGGTACTGGGGTAAAGGAGAGGAGGAGTTTGAGAACAGAGCAAGGCTGAACACTTGCAGATTAAGAGTTCTGACTGAATTCATATCGTGATCAATAGCTGCCCAGCTGCTTAGAGGTTTCTTTAAAATTGGGTACAGGGACATAAAAAATATCTAAGAAAGCCACAGCCTCCCCCTTCTCCACAGTTTCCTTCTGTGAGAAAGGCATGGGGGTCAGATATCACGGTTGGCTCTTCAAACCTTACAGTTTATAGCTCTTTGCTGCTTCCATGCACTATTGCAGTCTTGAAAAAACAAGGGCAGCCATTCAGACATACCTGTCCTCTTTGTTGACTTGGGAGTAGTATGACCTCTGCCTAATTGCTGAGTAGAAGGAGAAAGCCTCATTGAGATAGCTGGTTTCTGAGGTGCGCAGGCTGCAGAGGAAGAATCAGATTAGCTCACTGCCTCAGATGGAAATCCAAGCCAAACCCTCCCTTCCTGCCCCCTCAACCCGCTTGTGCATCCACAGCAAAACTCCTTCCTCAAATAACATCATATAAAAGCCAGACCCTCATTCTGGGAAGCCAGATTTCAGAGCTTGGATGCCATTTCAGATAACAATCAAAGCTGCCCATCTTGCACCCATATGTACAGGTGATGGGTTCATTGGAAAGTTTAAAGGAACACTAAGCTCCCAAACTTGTAAATCACACTTTTGCAGGACAGTCCAATGCAGCACGCATGGAAGACACTTTGGTGGCAGGAGATAAGTCCTCAGGCAGTATCAGTGTGAGCAGCAGTGTGGTACCAGGCTCACAAGTACTCTTCCCTGCAGCCCCATGCAGTCCCCAGGGCCCTCATTCAGAAACAGGCATCATGACTCAGCCCAATCACTGATTCCTCCTGACTGAGCATCCAGACATTTGGCAGGGAACTGCACTAACCCTGCATTCCCCACTGAATCCTCTTCTGTGCTTACTTACTAATAATGGTAATAGAGCTGCCCAATCTTGGAAGCAATTTCCCCAATTTGCCACCTCTTCAACCCATACCGATTGTCCAATACTTGTCTATTTTGCAAGAGAGAAAAGAAAGATTAAAAGGCATTCCCGAATTTCCCAGAACAAACCACCAGACAAGACAAAGAGCCATTGCAGGGCCAAATTCAGCTCTCATTCCTGGTGCAGCATTCCCAGTAACAGCCCCTACAGAGCCAACAGCACAGCACACACCCCCCAGAACAAGGACCGTTTATCTTGCATTAACTTGTGAGAACCAGACAAAAGTGTGATGCACAAAATACACACAACAAAAGGTCACAACTTCCCGGGAGAACGCTCAGACTACGCAGCCAGAGGAAGGTGTGAAGGATCAGAGCCCACGCTGCAGCAAGAGGCTTCACACCATTCCAGATGGGTTCTGCTCTGCAGAATCCATCATCTCCTCAGTAAGACATTAAAGCACCACACATTCAGGTAGAGCAAAAGGGTTTGTTAAAAAAGTCACACTGAAAACTCTGCAACATTTTAATTCATTAGACTGTGAGCACTGCAGGAAGCGGCTGTTCCCTCCCTTCATGCTTGAACAGCACAGTGAAATCTCAATCTTAGCTGGGGCCCTGGGCATGCCAGAGATTAAAGCTGTGCTGAAACCCACACAACTCATCTGCCTACAACATTCCCTTACCGATGCTGCTGTTGGAACTTCCAGAGTTTGGTGTAAACATCAAACGTTCGCCCAAAATAGGACTGCCACTGCTTCTGCCCGTACTGAGGTAAATCCCTGCAAGAGACAGTGACAAAGGCAGAGTAAGGGAGCACATTCCAGTCAGCCCAATGTGACAGCAGCCTGTTTGTGTCCAAGTCAGAGCAGTTTTGTTCAGGATTGACTTGCAGTACTTTAGAATTCTGCCTGCACCCAAAACTACGAGAACCATGATTCCTGGAGTTTCTCAGAACCTGTTGTTACTGGATCACTCCAAATAGGAAACAACCATGTTCCTACATGCCACAGGGGATATAAAACATCTTATAGTCTTGCTAAAAGAGAAGTAATTTTACGGTTATATGTACAGAAAGCTAAATTGGACTCTTAAAATACCACAGTAAAAAAAAACCTCACCCAAGAGCAAGCAGAATAATCTAATAGAAATTAGTTCATTTAGACTTGTGCATCATCATAATATTTCTTCCAACTCATTAAGGAAATAACCTTTTTTAAATGGATCAGGCTGTTTGCTGTGTTTCAGAAGCAGAGCTTATAACATCACCAACAAACCCACTGTCCAAATGTCACCAGGTCAGGCCAGCACATGGATGTTCACAGTGAACACTCGCCAGGTCACATTACATCACCACCACAATATTTGTCACCCTCTAACTCATAGTTAGTGACATGTCACAACGTGAGACTTTCTGGTCTTTTCATACCAGTCTCCAGTGCTGTGAATTAGGCAACCCAGTTCAGTTCTGCTTTCATTCTCCACTGGATTTCCATGCTGTGGTGTGTTTCCACTCCACAACTATGATGTATTCCTAAGGATTTCGGCTTTAAAGGTTTGTGCTCTCGATCCTCACAGAGGGTTGTCACCTGGGAGTGACTTGAATCTTGGAACAAGTGCAACAGAGGACACCAAACCCCTCAGTCTCACTGAGCACATCTTGCCTACAAATATACACTGAAGCTGATTCAAAGAAGGTAGAAGAAAGTAGAAGTGGAATAGCTTTTCCAAGACAGCATAATCTTTCATTTGATTCAAGACTGATTTCTCCAGGGAATGCTCTCTCAAATCACTGTGCTGGTTAATGTACCACCTTCAGCACACGGGCACAGAAAAGCAGCACATTCCACTTCCAAGCCTGGAGGGCGGAGACCGAGGGAACCACCATCTTTAGGAAACCTTGCCATGTCCTCTGAAGGAGTCAGAGAAGCAGAGCAGTACATATGATTTCAGAGCATTCTGGCATGTTTCTGATCATTGTAATTGCTTTAACAGCACCCAAGGTAGGAAAGGAAATTAATATTCCTTTGCTCGTCAGCCAACTGTACTTCCCACACAGCTTGAAGGGACCTAGTGTAGCTACTACATGTAAAATTAATCTGTTACCAGCCTGGAAAAACATTCCAGGACTTGGTGCTGGAAGATGAAGGAAGATGCCAAGGAAACTGTGCAGGATTTTACCAAATTTAAAAAAAAAAAAAATCCCCTCAAACTTGCAATTGGCTGCCCAACATCCTGGCACATACACTGGTGTAGCCAAGGGTGAACAGGAATATAACACCTGCTTCAGGGCACCAGCATCATCCAGATACAGCTTGATACAAACCTATGCAAATCTACAGTGTTTACTGCAAGGAATGATGCACCACTTTCTCCTGTAATAGATGTAAACATTTTAGCTAAACAAAAGAAGTTAAGGCACTGTCCAACAAATGCCCGAGATACACTGGAGGCTTTGATATAGCAAGAGACAGCTTTAATTTAATTAGCACATCCACAGGATTCAGTGTTAAAAAGCAAAAATAAAAAGTGAATACAAATACAGAACAACGCTAAAATGGATCATTTAAAAAAAATTATACAAATCAAAGTTCCCCAGCACTAACTTACAGAATGACTGAATTAGGGACCTGACTCAAAAAATCCTACCAGTAGTAAATTGAGCTTTCCAGGCCAAGTTGCTCAGGACATTTGAGCAAAGGTCTAACATATGGGAACAAGAGAATGCCCTTCTCTCAGACACCAAGAAGTAGCTATGTGCAGCCATCAGGAAATAAGCAGGTACCTGTGTTCTGATCATGCTCATGCATCTATCCCTCATCAGTCAGACAATTAATACACTCTCCATACCGCACCTGTCGCCCCAATTCCATACCTTCCTCCTAGCCTAAACATTCTGGTAAAGCCCAACTCACTGTGCTGTGTTAGATCCGAGTATCTGAAAATCAGTGTCATTTTAAGAAGCCTGTGTTAGCACAGTGTCCATGTGTTTGGCCACTGCTGTCCACGGCCGCTGCTGGGTGTCCACACGGATATTCCTCAAGCAGCGTGCTCGCCTAATTGCAGCTGGCATAGCTGCACAATACCACGGATTCCTCGGCTCCCCAGGGAACGGGAAAGATCTCCATGGAAACAGACAGTAGCACTTGTTCTTTTGATAGTATTCTGACATGGCTGTAATAAAACTTCATTTATGACAATACATTACCGTGGTTTCACCACAGCTTGTCGCAGACAGGAGCTGCCCTTCCTGCCATCCATTTACTGCTCTGTGTGCTCGACATCACATGTACCAAGAAATTTGGCTGTGAGAAAACAGATGCATAGGCAAAAGAGGACATATAGTGCAGGTTTTTTAATAGGACCAGAGGAGAAACACCTCAAAAGAACCCTAAAGCCTGGCTCCACTGCAGAGTTATTAACATAGATCCTCTCACCAATGGAGACAGAAGCAGACCCAGAAGCAATTAGACACCCAGCTTCAGAACTAAAGACCTATATTATGGGTCTTTATTTCACTGCTTCCAGATCTACAGAAGGACACCAGAACACCATGGAGAGACAAAGACAGCAGGCTCAGGTCCCTGCAGAGTGTTCCCAGCCCAGGCTGCTGGTTCAGAACAGGCAGTGCTGGGGCACGCACTCAGGCTGGACACCACTGCAGGAGGGAGGAAGGGACAGCCAAAGGAATCCAGATGCAGAGGAGGGAGTGGAGATGTCTTGATTTAGGACAGTACAATAGCCTCCAACAAGTGGAAACCGTTTCCAGTTTCTTGGCTTTTAAGGCATTCCAAACAGCACATGAAGACACAAACTCAGATGCTCTAAAAGGATGGGTTTCCCACACTGGGAAAACTGGTTCCCTTGCTGCACTAGAGTGGCTGGTGGATAAATTCCACAGACAGTCCAGAATTTTATCGAATTCTTGCTGTACTCCTTGTCTCAGCAAAGACCAGCACTACTTATGTGCTCATAATTAATTCTCTGTCAGTAGTTCATTTCAGCCATGCTGCTGGCAGAAGCCAGATAATACTGGCTGAAACCCAGTTAAAGGTGCTGAGGTGTGCTTGGCCAGCACCACATGGAAGTTGTCACACAGGGACAACTTCCAGAGATGTAAAGAAGTTGAGAAAGTCCTGGAGACTCAGCAGTATGCTTCAAAGAGGGAGGTTACAATAACTGGAAGTTTAATATTCAAAGCTTTAAATACATTCACAGTTTCGACAGGTGATAAAAAAGACAATTTCCTTTTATGTTCATGGGCTTCTAGTAATTACAAGCTCCTGCTCCCAGAACTGAGCAGCAGCAGGATAACAGTGGTGTAGCTTCCCCACAGACTCTAATAACCCACAAAGGCATGACCACACCAGGGCACTCCCCATAACCTGCCACACCAGTGGGAGAAGCCACTCCCTTCCCAGGACCACAGCAGGTACACCTGCAGCACTACCTGAGGCTAAAGAGGCTCCTGTTGTTTCTAAAGCAGCAGCAGTGTGGAATAAAACTAAGGTTCCACACTTGCGTCTTACTAGAAATCTACAAAATACCTGGTGCTACAAATTACACACTGTAACCCTGAATCCCACAATCATTAAGGTTGGAAAAGAGCTCTGAGATCATGGAGTCTGACCTGTGCCCGATCCCCACCCTGTCCCCCAGCCCAGAGCACTCAGTGCCACAGCCAGGCCTTCCTGGGACACCTCCAGGGATGGGCACTCCAAACCTCCCTGGGCAGCCCCTGCCAAGGCCTGACCACCCTTTCCAGGGAGAAATTCTTCCTGATGTCCCACCTGAGCCTCCCCTGGCACAGCTGGAGGCCGTTCCCTCTCCTCCTGTCCCTTGTTCCCTGGGAGCAGAGCCAGACTCACCCCAGCTCCCCCCTCCCGTCAGGGACTTGGAGAGGGAGAAGGTCCCTCCTGAGCCTCCTTTCCTCCAGGCTGAGCCCCCCCAGCTCCCTCAGCTGCTCCTCTCTAAACCCTTCCCCAGCTCCATTCCCTTCTCTGGACATGCTCCAGCACCTAAATGTCCTTCTTGAAGTGCGGTGAGGGGCCAGAACTGGACAAAGGACTCGAGGTGCCTCAGCAGTGCCCAGTACAGGGGATGATCACTTCCCCAAAATGTGGTTGTGAAAAGTCTTCTAATTCTTAAAATTTCAAGTTCCTCTGTGATACTGAACACATTTAAGCACTTTTTAACATTAAAAAGAAAATAATACCAGTGACAGGACACCGTGAAAAACTGCTTCCTAAAACCCTCCCTCTTTCCAGCCTTTTTCCAAGAAAAAAGCAAGTGGGAGTGGGGAAAGCAGAAAAGAGAGCCATTGGAACATGCTTCTCTAGCAGTTTTTCCTGACTTGTAGCCCAGGGTACAGATGCTAGAAAGACAATGTCCCCTGTGCACTCCCCCAGGCATGGCCACTGGAGATGGTATCACCAGGAGCACGAGCACAAAGTACACTTTCGAGCAGCAACCTTGGCAGACCATCATATGTTTTCCTCAAATGCTGTATTTGGCATCTGTATTGGGAAGAGAGGAAGGAAATGCTACTGAAACAAAGACGTGGCAGGCTGAGCCCTTGCAATTTTTGGCAGCAGCAACAGCTAAGCAGCTGCCAACACAGCCATAGGCTCAGCTCCCTGTAGCTGAAGTGCCCAGAGGAGGTTTTGGGAAGGAAATCATTGCTCTCCTCTCCCTCCTCTGTCACTTCTTTTCCACAAAATGTGGTAGGGACAAGAGAATGGCATAAAACACAGCAGCAAAGGCCATCATCATCTTCAAAACAGAAGGTGGCAGAAATGTATCAGATGCATTTATTATGCTGGAGGGAAAAGCAAGAACCAGACTAAGAATTGGGATGCTTGCCAAGTTATTTTCAGGTGAACTCCCCAGAGAACAAGCACTAACAGATGAGATACCTGAGAAATATAATGTTGCTTTATCCAGTCATTATGCCCTTGGCAATCACAGGTCTTAGAGGTGAAATGGTGATCAAGTTCAGCACAAGAAGAACATTAACTGTGCCAGCTTACAGTAAGGACAGAGGCAGGCTCCCATTCCAGAATGTTCTTGTTTTCAGACAGCACAACTGGCTGCTGAAGGCCATCTCTCTATTTTTATTGGCCATATATCATCCAAAGGTATTTTCCATTTTCTTTTCATCTAGCTGGACAAGAAGCTTTCTTTTTGGCAAAGTACCACAGATATACACAGAAACTACATCTCTCATCTGGAAATCTGATACAAGCACTAACTCCTTCCATGCTCAGAGAAGAGACAGACAGGTTGGAGGTACTCTGCCACCTCTCTGATCTGAACTGAGCAACACACAGCCACACATGAACTGGATTCATTTGTACTCTTCAGGGACTCAGGCCAAAATTCCAAGCAAGATCTATCATGGAGACAGACAACAGCCTCAATGATCCTTGTGCGTCCATTCCAACTCAGAATATTCTGTGATTCTGTGATGGAGCTTGCTTGAAATTTGGGCTTGAGTCACTGAAGAGTACAAAGGAATATCAGAAAGCCAATGTAATGTCATATATGGTCCTGGAAATCCTGGCCTCAAGATCTCAGTCCTTTTGCTTTAGACTCTCTTTCACGGGGTGTAGAAGCAATCACCAAGAACTCCCTGTCTCTACTGCCCATTCACCATTCAGATTTTGGAGCACAAACTGTTTGTTTTGGATTTGGTAATCAACTCCTAAAGCACATGAAAGGATTATCAATAGCGGGGGGCGGAGGAATTAAAAACATCTTTGCTAACCATCTGTGTTTGACTAACAGCAAGCTATATGGGCCCAAACATACAGGATTACTCAGAGACCAGTAAGAGGCTGCACTGCCAACCAGATACGAGCTCAAACTCATGTTGCTTAAGAGACTCTACAGCAAAGCTTAGAAATAACCAGCTCCTGAATACATAATGTTTAACTCAGCATATATTGACAAAAGAGGATTGTCTACATCACTGTCCAAACCTGAACGACTTTCCTTGAACTCCCTTTACTCTTTTTTGCCTGCAGACAAAACAGCCAGACTTTCTAGTTGTTGTGAGAAATCCTTTGTAGATAAATGTAGCTTTTACCTTTCTCCACAGTTCAGTTCAAGCATTTCTTTCACCAGACACATACAGGGTATGGTTTGAATGTTTCTGTCTATCACGTCCTAGATTTCTTCCCAAAAAATATTCCATCTTCTCCTTTCCTCCCACCTAAGCCAATCCTCCTCATCCCTTTTTTCTTGGCACAGAGACTGTGGTGGTTTGGACTTGCATGCTGTTGATTGTACCCAGCCACACCTAGTCCTTAATTGTGCACTTCATACACAACATTTCAGTACAAATTCTATCCATTTCAGGGAATTTCCAACTCCTAGTTTACTATTAACTGGAACCTCTACTCCTACAGACATTCTTACACATGGTCCCAAACTACCCATACATAGATGCATTGTTCTCTCCTAAACAAACTTACTGGGTTTGAATTCAAAATGTTCACTGTACAACTGACTTCAGCATCACATACTGAAGTGTGTGTTCCAAGGCTCTTCTGCAAGAATACTGTCAAAGATGCACTAACCTTAAGCCATTGAAGAGCTGCTTAGATTTATCCAATAAGTAGCAAAAGTCTGTCACCGTTTTCCTCTCTGCTTGAGGAATATCATCTTCAGCTCCTCCTGATGACATGATTTCTTTTAGAGCAAACTCAATCCTGTGAAGAAGAAAATATCCATGTTACTCAAAAATCAAGGGCTGCTGTGAACTCATCCAGATGAGATGCACGTTCAGTTCCATGGGGATGTAACACAGAGCATGCAGTTCTCCCACAGGTTTCTCTTCTCAAGACTCATTAAAAATAATGGCTGAGAATCAAAGCAGGGGAGTAATTATTGCACAATGCACTAGTTAACAGAGCAAAATTAAAAATAACAGTGGTACAAGAGTCATAAAATAAAATAACTCTGAGGACCTTTTTCACAAACACAAAACTGCCAACGAAAGGACTGTAGCATAAACAGCACTTGGGTTTCACACTTGGACAAAGAAATCCTCTCCAAATTTCCCTTCTGCAGAGGTGTTTATCCTGCACCCACATTTAGAGAGACCAGCCTCAGTTCTCTTATCATTTCATTTTCCTCTGTAACTGCTGAAAACTGTAGCTCACTAGGTTCCTATTGCTAAAACATAGCAAACATTTAGACAGAATGCTAAAAAATGCCCTCTCCTTCCCCTCTGCTTCCTCAAGACTGTTTAATTCCACGGCTTGCACTGCCCACAATTATACCTGCAGATATATTTATACTGTTCATATGAGCAAAACATCATATTGTACAATAATCATCTGAACAAAAACCTAAGATATAATGTAGATAATCCTAGTACTGAGTAAGTAAGGGAATAGGAAAGCCTATAGAGGCAGAGTGGTGTTTAAAATCTTACTCCAAACACACAGATATCAAATTACCCTTTTGAGCATCCAAAGATGAGCTACAGATTTCACAGCAGCAGCAACAAAACGTCTCCTCTGGAAATGGCTGCCAGGTCTTCAGCTCTTCTGTGCTCAGGATTTTAGTGCAAGATAAACACAACTCTAGCTGGGCACATGCAAGAGCTTTTACTTTCAGCAGCTTCTCTAGCAGTTCTAGTGGGTGCTTTTTTAAGCAACAAAATTCCCTTTGTGCAGCAACTCAGTTTGGATACTATTTGCACAAATAATTACCTACATATCCCAACTGAAGCCAGGGAATGGCAAAGCTAACTCCTTCCACCCATTGGGAAGTACCCAATTTCAGCAATTGTCACAAAAAACCTTCACAATAATCAAAGAGGCTTCAGAAATACTTCCCTGAACAAACACTTCATGCCTACCAAAGGGAGGAAAAAATGGTAGTTTCCCCCCCAGCGTTTGGGACAAATTAGGGAGCCATCCTGCCAACCAAGCAGTCCCCTGATTTCCCAGTTTGGACAAGATGCAGCACCCATCCATTTGTTTTTACACACCCACGTGACAGCCAGAGCACCAGGGCAAGGCCAGGGGGACACTGCACAAACCACTTGTCAAGGAGCTCCAGAAAAAGGTAGGAAGTATCTCTGTATTGTCAGGTAACTGCAATATGGGTAGCAGAGTCCAAAACATACCACCCAGATGTCACAAGCTTTGGCATGAGCCAGGCAAGCAGGACATGAACATTGCAAACCACGAGCCTGTGTCCAAAACCCGCGAACATCCACATTCACACAGCACGGAACAAACACCGAGTACTCAAAGCACCAACGAATGAGATGGAAGTGAACAGCGAGACCTAAAAACCAGATGTCAGAAGTAGCCAGGAGGTGACTCGGGAATTCCAGGAAGAGGACAATACCCCGGGACCTGTGTGCTCCTCAGCAAGGGTGACCTAAATCCTGCGGCGAGGCCGTGGGTTCTGCGCACTCCGCGTGGTAATCCAGGCACTCCAGAGCAGCTTCAGACACATTTGCAAAAATTCAGGAGCTTGCTTAAATGGCAAAGCATGTTTCATACAGTCTGTGTATCTGTCCTTTAATCTCATGGCAAAGCAGATTTTATTTTATGTTACCCTTAAGTTATACTCCCCAACGTCCCCAACCACTGCCAACGCTGGCCAACAGAACGAGTGCTAGCCCTGACACAGGCAAGTAAAACCAACTTGGTTTCTGTCTGTTTTTTTAAACCAAGTAGTTTGCACGTGGAGGAGGTCCACCAGACCTCCAGAAGAGGCCATTTATACAATCAACAGAAGACACACTAGAAAATCCATAGCCTGCAAATCTGAAAGGTATCAGAAGGCAGGAAAAATAGGTAAAACTGGCTTTTCCAGCTGACAGAGAAGGAAAATAAAATTGGGTATCTCATGCACTGGTTTTGGCTTATCATGCTCTGGAGGGGGTGGTATTTGGTGGTGTACAAAGGAAGAGCCACTACCAGGAGCAGCTCGGGAGAGGAGGAGGTGCTCCCTGCACTAAGGACTGTGTTGTAATGCAGCAGCAGTACAGACAGGAGGGAGAATTATTATTAGAACAGCAAGTGGGCACAGCAAAGGGAGGAATATAGCTCCTGACATCGCCCTTTCCTCAGGGACTGCTCAGCTCCAAATGAACAATATAAATAAAATGCAGCCAGGAGTACAACCACGTGGACCTCTCCTTCCCTTTGACACTTGAAGTTATCCCCATGGATCTGTGCTCCTCATCTGCAAAAGAGACAGTTCTCCCAGTTCTGACAGCCCAGCCACACCAGGAATATCACCTACTTTATTTTTTGTTCTGTGTCTGAAGCTTTTTGCCTTTTTTCATGCAAAAGAAACTGTTCAGCTGTTTTGCATGACAATTTTTCTTAAGTAGCACATGTTAAAAAAAATTCTCTCCAGAGTCTGCAAAAGGAGACACTGAAACATTGGTTTAAAAGACTTAAAATAAGTCAGAAAATGGTGAATTCCAGCAGAACTTATTATTCTCTCAAAGATTTTAACAACTCCTCAGGCCATACAAGGCAGAAAAATTGTGCTGTCCAAGCCCCACACTTGGCGTGCCAGGTTCTTCCAACACCCTCTCAGAACACAAGACTCTAGGTTTGCTAAGTGCAATACATTAATACATTTTACAAATTCACCCCCTTGCAGCACCCCGGGCAGCAGAGCTTTAGAGACATCCCAGAGGATGGCACGAGTGTCCAAGGCAGCAGGAGCCGAAGGGCAGCGGGAGGAGGGCACGGGACAGGACGGAGGTTTCATGGTGCTGGCCAGTATTTTTAAAGTCAGATGTCACTTACATCACACACTCTGCACTTCCCTGTGGTTTGCCGTCTTTTGGCTAAGGTTTTCCAGGCTTAGCTGGAAGGGGAAAAGTGCTGAAGTCAATGGTATGCACTCCCCACTGGCCCTACCCCAGGACTCAGGCCTGCAAAGCAAGGCAGGCTTCGGGAGCGGTGAAGGAACGCTCTGGTTCAGGAAAATCAAGCTGACAATGCAAGTCCAGCATGGACAGTTAAATAAGTGTATTACAGGCACATCCTCTTAGATTTATTACAGAGCCAGGATCAGTGTAACCCACCACTGAGCTGCCTGGTAGAAGAGGGGGGTCATAACTTCACACTGACACATACAAGCAAATAAAACCTCAGGGCACTGAGGATTCGGTGTGACTGTAGGGCACAGTGCTTGGGCAGATGTCAGCAGGGTACAAGCTCTAGATAAAAGTGAAGACAGACAGAACCAGGAGCAGTTTTCCAGAGCTGCACAGCAGAGTTGGCTGGACACGGCATCTTGACCTCTTGACAGAGCACTTGTACAATTTACCTGCCTCTTTTAAGCCATTACTTCTGCTCAGCTGTGAGATCTTGACTGGTTTTCAAATGCTTCCCACTCCTCACTTAGAGATGCAAGTGGTACTAAAAACCAAAACCAAACACACTTTGTACATCTTGTTGATACAGCATTCTCCCCAAACTAAGAACTGCTCTCCACAGAAACCAGTGGTGGAAAACACGTTCCAGTCTATCAGGATTTTAAAGCTGTCAAATCTCGAGTCAGAGACCAGCTCTTTTTCCACTTTTCATCCTGACACATCTCCCACAGCATCACTGCCAAAAGGGGACGTGACACAAAGCCAGACACCCAGCTGGTATCTATTTCTTATCCGCAAATTAACAACACAGATAAAATGAAGCTCTTCATCACTGATACCCAAAGCCTGGAACCATCACTTCTTAAATCTCTTCCAAAAACCAGCTGATCTTACTGTCATCAAGCAGGATATATACCTTGGCTCTCTATTTGCCTCTCCTTTTCTTCTACAGACTGGCACACTTGTCTCATGTTTTCTTTCAAAGCTATACTGCACGTTTTGGGAAAACCATCTGTGTGTTTCCATGTGATGTGCTCAGAGTGCTAGTCCTGACAGAGCCTCAGACAACACAAAATTCATTAGAGCCCAAATTCACTCCTCTTGTCAGAATACCTAATTCTCCATTGAGAGCCACTGTCCTGAAGCTCCTGAGACACCACTCAGTTCTACCCAAGAAACACTGAGATAAATAAATAAATAGCAATTCCCCCAGACACGCACCAACAACCTCACAGCCTGCTGGAGTCAGGCCTCCAGAGGAAATGGCAATGAGCAGTTATACATCAAACCATTTTTTCATAAAATACACGGCAGGGGAAAAGGATTTCTTTATTATTTTAAGGTTTTTAGTAAAATTTGGAACCGAACATGGACATTCCTCATCCCAAACACTGTTCACCTCGGGGCACGTCTGCACTGCAGTGGCTGCAGCTTTCCCAGATGCACCCAGCTCCTTTTCCAGCAGCTCGCTGGATGCTGCAGGAAGCATCTGGGAGCAGGCTGAGCCCACACCTGGGCTCTGGCAGGGCTCAGTCCCAGGGGACAGCGATGCCCAGGGCGAGCTCAGAGAACAAGCAGTGCGTTTGTGTCCCAGCTCTGCTCACTGCTCTGGGGCACACACAGAATGCACAGGGAAAAGGGCTTATAGAAGTTACATTTTAGTACTGCAACCCGAAAGTTCACCACTTTCACATGAAGGTGTATTTCCTTCCTTAGCATATCGAAGATGGGAAGATCTGCAAACACTGTCTCAGTGCTTTGTCTACAGAATCAGGCTTTTCATTTGTTTCGCATGTCTTTAAAAGTCCCTTTATTGCTTAAAGCACACCTGTCTGTAACCAGAACTGCAGCTTTGGCATCTTTTCTCCCAGAGAAACACGGAGGTGCTCATTAACATCACACCATGGAAACCGTGTAGTCCCTTCCTGCCTCCTACATTGAGATCATGGAAGCCACACCTCACCAGCAGACTCTGAATTCACTCTGGGCAGACTCACTGTGAATACAAGAGACATGATCTCACCATGGGATGCACGTGGCCTTCTTCAATCACCTTCAGAACACAAAACTTTCGCTTCTCTTCTTTATGTTTCTGCCACTGGTAATTTGTTCCACTTTTGTCCATTCTGCGCCCTCTGTGATCCCTTTTTCACTGCAGTTCACGACCTTTTGTGTATAGGATGAACAAAGGGCACGGGCTAAAAATGTCATCACAGTTGGGCCTCTGCTCTTCTACTGACTTCACCAGTTTGCTACTAAAAATGGGCTCAAGCTCAAAGTCAGACTGAGGCAGAATTTCTGGGTCATCGGAGCCCAGGAATCTCCAAAAGATGGTGCAGAAGCAATGTGGAAGAGGATGCAAGTATTTCCTTTTATCCAAATTCAAATCATGAATCTGTCGTGGTGCCTGCATACCACCTACATGGTACTTAGCAGTCATTTGCATTGTATGAAAGAGCAAGAGAAAAAAGAACATCAGGCTGGCCCACTCTTGGCAGGGTGGGAGGGTAGAAGGGAGACAGAAAAACACCATCAGCTGTGGCAGTGAGCTGTGTGTATTTACATTTCACAGGCTGAACTATTTAGTGGTTTATTTACACACAATGTTCTCGAAGCAGCTAAAATGCCAGTTTCGTTTTATCTTGATTTTGTGGTAATGCACATAAGCCACAGAACCATAGGGAGAGTCTGCAAATGAGAGATGAACCTCGTACAGCTGGAAAAGCACGTAAGCCACTGCGAGAAGGGAGAGAGATTTTGGGAGCACAGGCACAAGCAGGTCTGAAATGCATTAGTTATGACAAGAGACCAAAATACAACCCTGGGACTCAAAAGCAAGGATCCAGTCACAGTGCAACAGCTTGTGCTGCAGGGATCACACACCCCAGGGTAACCCTCACAGCCAAGCCATCCTACGGCACGGCACCGCAGGCCTCGGGTCTCTCCGGCTGCCCCTCCATGTTGAAGTGAGGAGGGAATTGCAGTCAGCTCCATTTTATGCACATTTGGTGGCAAGACGCCAACACAACTGTTGACTGAGCCAAATCTGGGCCCCCTTGAACTAAGCCATCACCCAGAGCAGGGCGGAAAAGCACATGCCTCTCGCCTCCCGAGCAGCCAAGTTCCTGAAAAGCATCCCAGTTGCAAGAAAGATTTTCTTCTTTCTTTCCTCCAACGACTGATGTTTTAACTCTTTGATTCACTATTAAAGAATTTAATTCATTAATTCAAAATGGAACAGCAAGCATCAAGCTGCATTGTACAGCAACGTGACGGAGAGGCTCCTTTCCAGCGAGCCAATGATTTACTGGCCTGGCCCAGATGGAGCTGAGGCCAGTGCCCGATCTGGAGGGCAGCTCTCGCCACACTCTGCAGCCTGTTCCCATCCTTGGCCAAGGTGCCAATGGCTGCCTTCCAACTGGAATCGTACTCCGACAAAGGAGAACGCAGGACAAGCTTGGGAAAGCCTTCTGATCCCTTCAGTTCACTTCTTCCCTCCAAACCAGTGTTTGGCAGGAGCTGCCAGCAAGGTTGGGAGTTGCATGGAGAGTATCATCACTGAGAATTCAGCCTCCTGAGCAGGGACTGCTGCTGGACTGTGCCTCTGCCTCACAGCAGAGAAATCCCTCTGCTGACTTCTGCTTTAATTATATTTAAAAAATTCAGCTTCCAGTCTGTGTTCCATTATATTAATAGCAATAATTAAAAATACTTCAAACAACGAGTCCTCTAAACCTGCAGTTCCATCCAGGCTTTCTGGCACCACACACTTCCTTTCCTGACTGACATCCTCGGGGATCCAGATTGATGGTTACTCTGTTCCATCCCTGCTGCAGGGCTGTGCTGCGTTCTCTCAGCACATGTAAACTGCAAGGTAATATTTGTGTTGGCAACTTCCTTACATACTTTACAGAACCAGACCTCAATTTGACCCTCTGTGCAGCTCCCACACACAATTTGGTCCACTCCTTTGAACTGTTTCCTCCTGCTGCAACACATACCCCATTCCATACCTCTGTTTCCAGCCTGTTTAAAAACTACATATCCAGAACAGAGCTTTTGTGCTAAAGGAGAGCAGGTCAGCTACAAAAGCCAACCCTGCAGAATGTTCTTATGCAAGGACACCAAGGAAAATTCCTTCTACAAGGATTGCTCCACTTTTATGAAAAAATGAGAACTGCAAAAAGTTCTGTGAAAAAAGCCATCAACACCCAGGTTTTCCTGGTCAGACTCCAAGAGCTGTAGTGTGCTTTGGAGGCTGGTGGGGGGCATTGGAGGTTTTTTGTTTAAAATCAGTTACATTTCAGCTCTTTAGGCAGTAAGACCACCTCAGAACAGACCTTCACACCAGAGCTCTTCCTTGCCCAAAGCACACCACGCAGAATAAAAGATAAGCCAACAACGTAACGTGTCCAGATGATCCAATGAATTCCCATTATCCATCTGTGCCGCAGCAGATCATCAACAACTCCATTTAAAGCCAACAGAGCTAAACCAGAATAAAAGTGATGCAAGGAGAGGGGAGATGTGAGCGGCACACGGCAGCGAGGCAGCTGCAGTGCGAGCAGGGGACTGTGCAGCCGCAGCATGTGACAGGAACAGCACTGGCAGCAGCCAGGGAGAGCTGCAACCCCAGCTCCCACCTCCCCACATCTGTGCTCCCAGTGTAACACTGTGGACACCACCATCTGATCTCAGTGCAGAACTGACTCGGGTTAGAAGCTTCTCGATGTTCTGAATGGTTACACTCCATTTTTATTACTTGCCTCCATGAAATAAAACAGGGACACAGAAATTAATAACAATACAGGCAATGTGTTCCTCCCACTGGAAAGCACTTTCAGCATCTTTATCACTTGTAGATCAAATTTCTCAACAGAGCATGATGAGCACAGAACACAGTATCATTCTTACACAGAGCTAAGTCCAACTAGACATCTTTGTGCTAAAATCCCCCACGTTTGTAAGGAACCTGGATTGACAGTTGAATTTTGATGCTGCATTATACTCATATTTTAAAATAAAACAATGATCACAATCTTCTTTGCAGCACAATAAAATATTTCTTCTCTCCATACAGCTTCCATGAAGGGTTTTTCTATTTCCCGCAGTAAAGGACCTGGCCATCACATTTGTGTGCACTGTCTGTAGTGCTTTGGCACCTCAGAATTACACTCTTTGCTCCTAGTGAAGTGACTGTTTCTTTCAATCAACATAAACTGTGGTCCAGTTTATCCAAACATCTTAAAAGAGACTGACTTTGAAAACGAAGGATCTTTTCTCTAAACACGACCGACAGTCAGGCTCCTGAATTGCTCCCTTGACAGCCTGGGCCAGGGATGGCACAACCACCACACCACGGGTTCAGGTGAGGTGAGAGACACCGGGCAGGGACTGCCCTGCAAACTCCCACAGCAACATCCACACCAGGATGATCCTCCCCGACTTCCAAAGGCTGCTGCCCGCCCGGCAGCCCTGCTGCTCGCAGGAGCAGTGGGAAGCACACACATGCTGGGAGACACACTCACATTTTAGTCATCATATGGTCCCACAGCGCTGCTTTGCATTAGCTTGGACAAGATGCCATGAATTACAGGTTGTGTTTGCACAGCTTGTGCAAAATCTACAGATCTTTTACATTAAGGGACCCATTTTGCAGGTTGGAGGACTAGAATTGTTTAGCCCAGACACAGCTCAGGTGTAGAAGCTTGGAGCCTGGTTATTAAATGAAAGAAGAGCAATTCAGACTTCGACAATAACAGGTCCTATTCTGTGATGGGAGGTCGGACCCAGAGCTGCAAACATGCAGTCTTGATCCTGAACATTTTACCTGCAACAGCCTTTAGCTATGGACATTTTAACAGGGCAAGAAATTTGGGGGCATGACACAACATAACAACCATCCAGCTTCTGTCCCCAAGGACATCTCACGTCACCTATTGTCCACAGCGTTTCTCCGTACAAAAAAAGAATTTGGTGGAGAGGGACCTGCCGCAATAAAAGTTTAAAATCAGAACAAACCCCCGGTGACTCCATCAAACCTGCAATTTGGGTATCCAGCACTGCACGAACTGCCCCTGTAAAATCCTGCACCGTTCCGTCCCACCGGATTCGCTGGCAGACGCTGGATGCAGGTACCTGTCACAGGCAGGCTCAACAGCTCCAGCCTCGCCCGGAGCGAGCGGGAGGGGAGCGCGGGGAACGCAGAAGTTAATAAAGAGGGGGTCGTTCGGGGAATTATTTCAGCTACGCCGCCAATCCGGGCCTAAGCATTAGACGTGTCACATCGCGTTCCTGCTCTCCGTTAGCGGCGGAGGCAGCGGGGGCGCACGGCCCCGCGCAGCCCCCGGGCCCCGCAGCCCCTGCCCCGCACCGCGGCACCGGGCGCGGACCCGCCGGGGATGCTCCGCGCAGCCCCGCCCGCACCTGCCGCCTTACCTGT